TGCCTGCTGAGTCTAGGGATAAGTAAACAAAAATAGAACTTTATCTCTCCATTTCCCCATCCATCGCAAAGCCAAAAACCAAAGGGCAAAAGTGACTAATGCACTAATTGTCCCAGGGCAGGTGGTGCTTCTGGGAGTAGCTACAATACCACAAGGGTACATGCCTTCCAGTGCCTGTTTGACCTTAGGCATATACACCATGTCAATACAAAATTGTCAGGCCAAGTGCCACTTGTCTGACTACCCAAACTTGCAATTCATGGGAGCCCTTGATCCATAAAGTGCACTACAAACCCAAATGCACAAACTACAAATATATGAGAAGACCAGCAGTCAACCCACCAGCATCTCCAGGGTTAGGTGCAACCTCCAGGTGAGCCAAAATGAGGCTCTGTGCACAGTAACAGTGCTTAGTGAGTCTGTTGATGTAACCACTCTGGTGTGGCATAAAGTACTGATGAATACCATAGTCCTTCCCTGTGTAAGAAAAAATGTCTCCTTTCTGGGGATGAGGGATGGGGAGGAAACTAAGAGAGAAATAATGGAGGGAGAGGCATTTGTTGCTTATGATTAAAGTATGGGGTACTTTTATTTCTTCTGTACTAGGGCTGTCTTCAAAACCTTACTGCAGTTACAGTATTTAGGTATTGACAAATTTAGGTTAATTGCTGTAAGTTTTCATTCGAACATTTTACCTTTATTGTGAAACATACTGGGATAGGAGACCGGGGATGCCTCCTTTGATCAGCCAAATGTAATCAAATCATATTTAATTTATTAACAAAGTTGGTCAAAGTAACAAGTACAATCTAAGGCAAAATCTTGAGGGTTCTGGAGGAGGGTAATAATGCTTGCACCCTGAAGGAGGGATGGGGATGTTGCAGCTTAGAGGGTCATTTGAAATGTGATTTCTTCACACTTCTAGCAAACCAGCTATTGAATAATGTTGGTTTATGCATTTCCTTTATTTTTGGGAAGAATGGGAGGCCTTGGTGGAAGATGACCAGTCTGGTAATAAAAATCACTGCACTTACGCTAATTAATGCCTTATAATTTGTTAATAGTTGAACTTTCTTCTGCTATAGATTGCAAAAGAAGTAGCTTTGTAGTGCATGACATACAGGAGAGCCCCGCTTTACAGCATTTTGCCAATGCAGCGGTTTCATTTATACCCATTCTTCATTTATTCAACCTTCATACAATAAATATACGTATTCATACTCACTGTGAGCTAAAGACAAAAATATTTTAAGGCAAGTAATGTGTATAGTGTATATGCATTTTTTTTTTAGGTCCAACTTTATTGCTCACTTAATGTATGATATTGTAAACATGTTATCAGACTTTTATGTGCATTTGAAAAAAAAAAAAAAGAAAGGCTGTTTTGCTTTACAACAGTAGCAGAACCTAATCTACTATATAAGTGGGGCTGCCTGTAGTCAGATTTTTGTGATTATTTGTAAGGTTATCTCTTGATAACGTTTATTTATACACACTCATCTGAGTTTTCTTTGATTTTATCTTAATAGTTCTTGGTCTTATTACTTTTCCTTTTATATCCATGGGGAAGTGGAATAAGAATCTTTCCTCTGTAAGCCATGCGTGTTGTAAAAGTCAACTAAAATGCCGGGAACAATGGGCTAGTAACCCCTTTTCCTGTAAAGATTACTAAAAAGAATAAGAAAAAGAAAATTGTCAAAGTGGGAAGTCTGAATGTGCATGGATGTTGTGCAAATGATAAGAAAGAGATGATTGTGGATGTTATGAATGAGAAGAAACTGGATGTCCTGGCTTTAAGTGAAACAAAGCTGAAGGGGGTGGGAGAGTTTCAATGGAGAGGAATAAATGGGATTAGGTCAGGGGTTTCAAATAGAGTTAGAGCTAAAGAAGGAGTAGCAATAATGTTGAAGGATAAGCTATGGCAGGAAAAGAGGGACTACAAATGTATAAATTCAAGGATTATGTGGAGTAAAATAAAGATTGGATGTGAAAAGTGGGTTATAGTAAGCATGTATGCACCTGGAGAAGAGAGAAGTGTAGAGGAGAGAGAGATTCTGGGAAATGTTGAGTGAATGCGTGGGGAGTTTTGAATGAAGTGTGAGAGTAATGGTGGTTGGGGATTTCAATGCTAAAGTGGGTAAAAATGTTATGGAGGGAGTAGTAGGTAAATTTGGGGTGCCAGGGGTAAATGTAAATGGGGAGCCTTTAATTGAGCTATGTGTAGAAAGAAATTTGGTAATAAGTAATACATATTTTATGAAAAAGAGGATAAATAAATATACAAGGTATGATGTAGCATGTAATGAAAGTAGTTTGTTAGATTATGTATTGGTGGATAAAAGGTTGATGAGTAGGCTCCAGGATGTACATGTTTATAGAGGGGCAACTGATATATTGGATCATTATTTAGTTGTAGCTACAGTTAGAGTAAGAGGTAGATGGGAAAAGAGGAAGGTGGCAACAACAAGTAAGAGGGAGGTGAAAGTGTATAAACTAAGGGAGGAGGAAGTTCGGGCGAGATATAAGCGACTATTGGCAGAAAGGTGGGCTAGTGCAAAGATGAGTAGTGGGGGGGGGGTTGAAGAGGGTTGGGATAGTTTTAGAAATGCAGTATTAGAATGTGGGGCAGAAGTTTGTGGTTATAGGAGGGTGGGGGCAGGAGGAAAGAGGAGTGATTGGTGGAATGATGAAGTAAAGGGTGTGATAAAAGAGAAAAAGGTAGCTTACGAGAGGTTTTTACAAAGCAGAAGTGTTATAAGAAGAGCAGAGTATATGGAGAGTAAAAGAAAGGTGAAGAGAGTGGTGAGAGAGTGCAAAAGGAGAGCAGATGAAAGAGTGGGAGAGGCACTGTCAAGAAATTTTAATGAAAATAAGAAAAATTTTTGGAGTTAAACAAGTTAAGAAAGCCTAGGGAAAGTATGGATTTGTCCATTAAAAACAGAGTAGGGGAGTTAGTAGATGGGGAGAGGGAGGTATTAGGTAGATGGCAAGAATATTTTGAGGAACTTTTAAATGTTGAGGAAGAAAGGGAGGTGGTAATTTCATGCACTGGCCAGGGAGGTATACCATCTTTTAGGAGTGAAGAAGAGCAGAATGTAAGTGTGGTGGAGGTACGTGAGGCATTACGTAGAATGAAAGGGGGTAAAGCAGCTGGAACTGATGGGATCATGACAGAAATGTTAAAAACAGGGGGGATATAGTGTTGGAGTGGTTGGTACTTTTGTTTAATAAATGTATGAAAGAGGGGAAGGTACCTAGGGATTGGCGGAGAGCATGTATAGTCCCTTTATATAAAGGGAAAGGGGACAAAAGAGAGGAATAAGTTTACTGAGTATACCAGGAAAAGTATACGGTAGGGTTATAATTGAAAGAATTAGAGGTAAGACAGAATGTAGGATTGCGGATGAGCAAGGAGGCTTCAGAGTGGGTAGGGGATGTGTAAATCAAGTGTTTACATTGAAGCATATATGTGAACAGTATTTAGATAAAGGTAGGGAAGTTTTTATTGCATTTATGGATTTAGAAAAGGCATATGATAGAGTGGATAGAGGAGCAATGTGGCAGATGTTGCAAGTATATGGAAGAGGTGGTAAGTTACTAAATGCTGTAAAAAGCTTTTATGAGGATAGTGAGGCTCAGGTTAGGGTGTGTAGAAGAGAGGGAGAATACTTCCCGGTAAAAGTGGTCTTAGACAGGGATGTGTAATGTCACCATGGTTGTTTAATATATTTATAGATGGGGTTGTAAAAGAAGTAAATGCTAGGGTGGTCAGGAGAGGGGTGGGATTAAATTATGGGGAATCAAATTCAAAATGGGAATTGACACAGTTACTTTTTGCTGATGATACTGTGCTTATGGGAGATTCTAAAGAAAAATTGCAAAGGTTAGTGGATGAGTTTGAGAATGTGTGTAAAGGTAGAAAGTTGAAAGTGAACATAGAAAAGAGTAAGGTGATGAGGGTATCAAATGATTTAGATAAAGAAAAATTGGATATCAAATTGGGGAGGAGGAGTATGGAAGAAGTGAATGTTTTCAGATACTTGGGAGTTGACGTGTCGGCGGATGGATTTATGAAGGATGAGGTTAATCATAGAATTGATGAGGGAAAAAAGGTGATGGTGCGTTGAGGTATATGTGGAGTCAAAAAAACGTTATCTATGGAGGCAAAGAAGGGAATGTATGAAAGTATAGTAGTACCAACACTCTTAATATGGATGTGAAGCTTGGGTGGTAAATGCAGCAGCGAGGAGACGGTTGGAGGCAGTGGAGATGTCCTGTCTAAGGGCAATGTGTGGTGAAAATATTATGCAGAAAATTCGGAGAGTGGAAATTAGGAAAAGGTGTGTAGTTAATAAAAGCATTAGTCAGAGGGCAGAAGAGGGGTTGTTGAGGTGGTTTGGTCATTTAGAGAGAATGGATCAAAGTAGAATGACATGGAAAGCATATAAATCTATAGGAGAAGGAAAGAGGGGTAGGGGTCGTCCTCGAAAGGGTTGGAAAGAGGGGTAAAGGAGGTTTGTGGGCGAGGGGTTTGGACTTCCAGCAAGCGTGCATGAGCGCGTTAGATAGGAGTGAATGGAGATGAATGATACTTGGGACCTGACGATCTGTTGGAGCGTGAGCAGGGTAATATTTAGTGAAGGGATTCAGGGAAACCGGTTATTTTCATATAGTCGGACTTGAGTCCTGGAAATGGGAAGTACAATGCCTGCACTTTAAAGGAGGGGTTTGGGATATTGGCAGTTTGGAGGGATATGTTGTGTATCTTTATACGTATATGCTTCTAAACTGTTGTATTGTGAGCACCTCTGCAAAAGCAGTGATAATGTGTGAGTGTTGTGAAAGTGTTGAATGATGATGAAAGTATTTTCTTTTTGGGGATTTTCTTTCTTTTTTGGGTCACCCTGCCTCGGTGGGAGACAACCGACTTGTTGAAAAAAAAAAAAAAAAAAATCTCTTGAACCATTTTCAGATCTTAATTTTAGAATCATACATTTCAGAGGAAAGTCATCAACTGGGATACCAAAGAAGAGTGATAACAGAAATGATGAAACCCCACTGAAGACACTAATTGCCCCTGGTATCAACAGATTCCACAAGTAAATATATTGTTATTTTCTGCTGGTCAAATAATTGTTGTGATAATAACTGTATTATCATGTACTATATAGGTCATAAAGTAAACTTTCAACATAATAGACTAATAGGGGAGGATTGTCCGAGTTTGTTAAATTGGAATAATGTTAAGTAGCCAAAAAGTGCATTAAGTACTGTACTCTGTTATACTTAATTAGTACTGTACACACAATTTACAGATGTACAGCAATAATCATTGAAAATAAAGAAGCTAAAATTACAATTTTCCTAGCGTATTTTACCCATATCAAAAGTCTATTCTATCGAGGTGTTACATCTAAGGTTTTCTTCAATTTCTACGTGAACTGTTTTCTTTCACTGCCATAAAGAGACTCGGAGACGGTCCATTTATAGCATTGTAATACTTCTATTTCTAGTAGTTGTTTGCAAGCCACAAAAAGGTTATTCAACTAACTTTTTCTTTTATTTCATCTGTGTATTATAACATATCGTTGATTCATGCATTCCAACATCTCATCCTATTTTAGAGTTGCTTTCACCATGTGCATATCACTTGATTACATCAGTTTTTTGTTTTTAATGTAATAACAAGCCTCCTGTTTTTTTGCACTTGCTTTATTTGCACTGTAAGTATTCTTTTATTTGTCTATATTTGCTAAGAGCAATATATCAAAATTTAAAATATAGTACTAAATATGAATAGGATAAGAAGCTGCTGCACATCTTCACACAACAACAGGGCCATACTTATATCTGGGAGCAGGAATAAGCAGGGTGGGCAGGAAACTCATACTAATCGAATTTAGATGTGTTAAATAAGATCTGATATCATTTCATAAAAGACACCAGCAATCCTACCATCATGTAAAACAATTACAGGCTACCATTTTACACTAACTTGGCAGGATGGTAGTACCTCCCTGAGCGGTTGCTGTCTACCAACCTACTACCTAGGTTTGTGTAAAGAAGATCATTTCATAATTCATATTAAGTCAATTTTCGTATTATTCAATATTCGTACTAATTAAGGCTTTGCTGTACAGTGCTTCATACAAATTCACCAGATGCATTCCTGAAAGTTCCAGCAAATACCTCTAAATGCTGTCTGCTTAATTAATTTTGTTTCAGATTTTGGCTACTAAAGGGAGATTCCTTCATTCCAGTGAGGAGCTCTTGATTCAAGGAATTGGACCTTACCATCCCTTACTTGGATCATACCTGATTACCTCCCATTTTCCCAGACATTGTATGATCCCTAGGAGTTTAGTGCTTTCTCTCCTTATGAATATAATAATTTGGGTTAAGGCTCATTTTGTCTTTCAGAGGTTATATTTCTTCAAATATTGTTCTAATCTTGCTAAAAAAAATTTTTTTCAACAAGTTAGCAGTCTCCCACTGAGGCAGGATGACCCAAAAAGAAAGAATATCCTCTAAAAGAAAATACTTTCATCATTCAACACTTTCACCTCGCTCATACATAATCACCGTCTCTGCAGAGGCGCCCAGATACAACAGTTTAGAAGCATATATAAAAATGTATAACATATCCCTCAAAACTGCCAATATCCCAAACCCTCCTTTACAGTGGAGGCATTGTAGTTCCCATTTCCAGTACTCAAGTCTGGTTATATAAAAATAACCAGTTTCCCTGAATCCCTTCACTAAATATTACCCTGCTTGCACTCCAACAGCTCATCATGTCCCAAAAATCATTTGTCTCCATTCACTCCTATCTAACACGCTCATGCACGCTTGCTGGAAGTCCAAGCCCCTCGCCCACAAAACCTCCTCCACCCCCTCCCTCCAACCTTTTCGAGGACGACCCCTACCCCGCCTTCCTTTCCCTACAGATTTATACGCTCTCCAAGTCATTCTACATTGATCCATTCTCTCTAAATGACCAAACCACCTCAACAACCCTTCTTCAGCCCTCTGACTTGTACTTTTATTAACTCCACACCTTCTAATTTCCACATTCCGAATTCTCTGCATAATATTTACACCACACATTGCCCTTGGACAGGACATCTCCACTGCCTCCAGCTGCCTCCTCGCTACAGTATTTACAACCCAAGCTTCACACCCATATAAGAGTGTTGGTACTACTATACTTTCATACATTCCCTTCTTTGCCTCCATGGATAATGTTTTTTGTCTCCACAAATACCTCATTGCACCACTCGCCTTTTTTCCTTCATCCTTCATAAACCCATCTGCTGACACGTCAACTCCCAAATATCTGAAAACATTTACATCTTCTGTACTCCCTCTCTTCAATGTGATATCCAGTTTTTATCTAAATCATTTGATACCCTTATCACCTTACTCTTATCTATGTTCACTTTCAACTTCTACCTCAGAAAATCAAAACAGAGATTGTGTGGGAAATTCAGTAAACTTGAGTCTGAACAAAATTCCACGTTTGCTTTTCAATTTAGTGGTCATGCAACAAGTTAAAACAAAATGGGCACCTCAGAAATCCATGATAGTCTGAAATTATTCCTGTGGAACCCTTCAGTAAAAACATTGTGTGATCAAAATTGGGGAATTTAGGAGGCACTGCAAATTTTGTAGTGAGCACCTGTGCATAGTGTTACATATGTAATTTGTAAAAGTAATTTTTTTTTATCATAACCACTGCAAGGCTTATGTGGATTAGTTGGTAGATATAGAGCTGGTAACAGTTTTCCAAATATCTGAAAAAATGCTCAACAGCTATGAAGACAGTGAAAGCTAATAGTGAAAGCTGCTGGAAAAAGATTCTGGTAAATTAAACTTTTTGGCTATAAATAGCTAATATTAATTTTAGTTTTTGAGCATTTCTTCACCTTATTAAGAGTTGTTTCATTTAACCACAGGTTTACGGCATCTTTTATTGACTTCCCAAAGCCATTGGTTGCTGTTGTGAATGGGCCAGCTGTTGGCATTGGAGTTACAATACTGGGACTCTTTGATGTAGTATATGCTACAGACAGGGTATGTTCACACATTTTTGACCTGGCATAATATATTTTGTTCAGTTTATTCTTTTGAAAATATTTTGGATTTAAATTTTTAATAGGCATTTCTTAACTTTTATATCTTACAATGGATCTAATTAGCTAGACTGTTGGTGCTTGCAGACTGATGCAGTCTTTTGACACTGTTACCCTACCAACGACGCTTTCCAAGCCAACGAATTACCAAAGCTGCAATCTTGGTACACCCTCCAATCACAGTTTGCTGATATTCCCATCTCAACTGCAGGACTGTTATCCATATTTGTATGATCATTTATAAATGTATATTTAGGTATCAAAAACACCATTCCAGAGTAAGAAAATGGTTGACAGAAGCTTTTCATTGTCATTAAGGATTCTTCACCATTGCTAATGAAGCCTCCTAGTAATCTTCAAAGGTTTTTGCCAACCATTTTCCAATTTCTGTAAGCTATTGTGATATTCAGTTTTCATGGAAATTAAGATTCTCTATCATGTAATAAAGTAGTTATTTTTCATCACTGCAGTATGATTTCAAAAGCCTCAGTCTTTCCTGCAAACACCAGTTTCTTAATATTAATTCAATTGTGCATTTAAACTTTAATTTTTCAGGAAGAATTTTGCCCAAGATCTATATATGTTCAGCACAGTTTTATGATAAAAGACTTTGTTTATATTATGTATACATTATTTAAGGAAATACTGTATGAGTTTCTTATATAGGGTGCTCCTGTACAGCAGTTGAAGTGAAATTTTCTATAAATTCAGATGTTGTAAGGGTACCTACTAGTTAAAAATGTTTGTTTTATAAGGCAAAGTGAATATTTTTTTTTTTTAACCTTTACAGGCTACCTTCCATACACCATTTGTGTCATTAGGCCAGGCACCAGAAGGCTGCTCAACCTACACTTTTCCCCGAATAATGGGACCAGGAAAGGCTGCAGAAATGATTTTGTTTGGCAAAAAGGTTTGTAAAACTGAATTTCATTTTGGTTTTTAGATTTCCAGGTATTCCATAAATTACTAGTTAGTTCATGTATATAGTACTTGTACTTTACAATTGCTATTTCTTTGTTTATTAGCTGTTCTTGTTAGTAAATAAGTTTATTCAGGTATACACAAATACAGTTACATAGATTATCATACATAGCAGCATATGTGTGAAGTATCTAGGATAACCCAAAAAAGCCAGAGTGACATATTTCCATTGGGGTCCTTTTACCTTATTATAATAATATTAAGGTTTTAAAATCTTATCTATAATGGAGATAACATCTTATTATCATACTAAAAAGACTACTACACAAGGGTCATTAAGACTATCTACAATACGAGGGTCATTACTAGGAATAAGGTAAAATTACACGTGTGTTAACTAAAAAAATAAAAAATCATTCCCCTCCCTCTCTGTAGCTATATTCATCAGACCTTTTGGCTCTTTTCTTGAACTGGTTCATGCTATGACTGGCATTCATCCTTTCTTTCTAAACATTAGATTCATTTATAATTAATAGAACTATTGTACAACTTAGAGTATGATAAATTTCTTTAGTATTAAGAAGTCAGTAAGCCATTAAATTAAGTCTCTCCATAATGCCTAGGCATGATAGTGGCTCTCTTTGCACTGCAACTCATTATTGTAAATACATAATCTCAATGTACTACTTGCAAAGAAATAAAATTTGATTGCTGTATCTCAATACAAGCAGGAGGTGCCTAATTTGGTAACTAAAATGGGCACTAGCCAATAAAATTTCTTGAAAGGGTCAGAAAGAAAGGTGTTATTAAATCTCATAAGTGACCTCTCCTTGTAAGAACTCCTAGAGTTTATACATTTAACATAAGAAGTCTCTGTACAGGAGGGCCCTGCTTTTACAGCAGGTTAGGCTCCGGGCTACTGCTGTAAAGTTAAGCCTTTTTTCACTTTCAAATGAATATAAAAGCCTGATAACATGTTTACAATATCATACATTAAATGAGCAATATAGGTAGACCTAAAAAATGCATATACAGTATATGTTTGGTAAAATTCTGTTTTATTTTTCTAATTTTTACAGATAAATGCTGTGGAAGCATGCCAGTTGGGCTTGGTAACAGAAGTATTTCCTGATGCATGTCTTGATCAAGTATGGTCAAGGATTTATCAGTGGGCACAATTGCCTCCAAAAACTTTGATTAGTGCCAAAGGGATGCTTAGAGCTCTTAAAAAAGACTTCCTGCATGAGGTTAGTTGTAATTATTTGGGCAGCCTGTCCATTTTAATGTAGAAGATAATTATTATTATTATTATAATCATGGGGCAGCGCTAAACCCATAGGATTATACAGCGCATGTGGGGGGGATGGAAGGTATTCAGGGTCAATTCAGGGAACTGAAGCACAGATCCAATTCCCTAGATCAAGAGCCCCTCACCAGCATCAAGGAATCTCCCTTGAGGGGATGTAGAACATAAAATATTTATGAAAACCACATAAATGAATGGGAAAAAGTACAATGGGAAATTAGTTAATCTTTTATCAGAGCAGAAGCTGTGTTTAAATCTGTGATGAAATTTCAGAAGTGTTGGTGGTTCATTATTTGATGTGCAGAAAAAGTAATACTGTAAATATTATTTTTTTTTTTTTTCAACAAACCGGCCGTATCCCACCAAGGCAGGGTGGCCCAAAAAGAAAAACGAGAGTTTTTCTTTTTAAATTTAGTAATTTGTACAGGAGAAGGGGTTACTAGCCCCTTGCTCCCGGCATTTTAGTTGCCTCTTACAACACACACGGCTTACGGAGGAAGAATTCTGTTCCACTTCCCCATGGAGATAAGGGGAAACAAACAAGAACAAGCACTAGAAAGATAATAGAAGAAAACCCTGAGGGGTGTGTATATATATATGCTTGTATACATGTATGAGTAGTGTGACCTAAGTGTAAGAAGAAGTAGCAAGATGTACTTTTCTCTTGGTATATGTTCTCTCCAGCTGGCTTTGTTTATGTTCTCTGCAGGTCATATGACTGTTATCCCTTCCAACTCCTTGTTGTACTTAACAATCAAGTTATATATCTCAAGCTGAATGAGAATCTAACTCTGTATGTTGTAATTAGTATTAATGTCCACTGTTGTGACACACTTTTCTTTTTCTGTTTATTGTAAGCCTATGCACACTATATAATCATTACTTTTCCTAACATGCACAATATGTTGAGAGGAGCTATTGTGTCTGTCTGTCTTCCTCTGCACCTTTAGCATCTCTGATCATTTTCTAGACTGAAATTTTTGTTTGTTTTGGCTGCCCTCTCAATTTTAGTAAGATTAGTCTACTTTTATGCTAAGACATTTTATTTTCTTAACCCATTTCTGTGAAAACTTAAGTGTAATTTCCTTCCCTATGTTTCTAAGTTTATAAAATCACCATAACAACGCATATCCTCTAGATATTAAATTTCGTTCTCTCAAACTAATACACTTCATAGCAATGTGGTTCATACTTCACTTCTTGCTGATACTGCCAATGTCTACTTAATTTTCCTGCTCCTCTTGCTCTCTTCCATACAACAGTGAGACTAACTACTCATGTTCTGTACACAAATAACCCGCACATAAAAGAGAGAAGCTTACGACGACGTTTCGGTCCGACTTGGACCATTGACAAAGTCACACTAACAGAGGTGGAGCAGGACGGCTATATATAGGCAGGAAGAGTGGAGGTAGTAGTAGTAGTAGTAGTAGTAGTAGTAGTAGTAGTAGTAGTAGTAGTAGTACAAGAATTGTATATAATACCGACAAGATGAAATTAAGACACATGCACAACACCCGGGCATCCCCATCGTAGACGTTTCGCCATCCAGCCAGCCACTGGATGGCGAAACGTCTACGATGGGGATGCCCGGGTGTTGTGCATGTGTCTTAATTTCATCTTGTCGGTATTATATACAATTCTTGTACTACTACTACACTACTACTACTACTACTACCTCCACCTCTTCCTGCCTATATATAGCCGTCCTGCTCCACCTCTGTTAGTGTGACTTTGTCAATGGTCCAAGTCAGACCGAAACGTCGTCGTAAGCTTTTCTCTTTTATGTGCGGGTTATATGTGTATCGTTCCAGTCACGGTATTGTGCCTTTTTGTTACTCATGTTCTGGCAAACTTTAAGAGCAGAAGAGAAAGCATTGGCCCTGCAGACACTAACGCTGACCTTTTTCCGTCATGTTAGAAATCGTAGCCATTCTACAGAGTTGGCAAGCAACATCACAGGATGACCATCCTGCATATTGTTGGTTAAACCCATATTAGTGATGCTTTGTTTACTAATATGTTTATACAAGCATTGATGCATTAAATATTACATATTATATGTGTTCACATACAACACGATTGGCAGTTTGGACGGACCTCTAAACTGTCATATTCAAGTGCCTCTGCAAAGACAGTGATTATGTATGAATGATGGTGAAAGTGTTGAATGATGAAAGTATTTTTTCTCTCTTTTTGGGTCACCCTGCCTCGGTGGGAAACGGCCGATGTGTTAAAAAAAAAAAAAAATGCTTACTTTATGCTGCCAGAGTGGCATTAACTGTACACCTGCAGCTCATCCTGTGAGCAGTATTTTATTGTATACCAAGTAGTTCATCCTGTGATTGGTAGTTTATTGTGCACCCTTGGCTCATCCTGTGAGCAGTTGCAAAAAAAAAAAAAAAGTCACACTGGGTCTTGGTCAGACCACACTAGACATAGTTACTTACATCATTAAGATATTAGTCACTTTATGTATTTTATGTATATTACAACCTCATCTTCTCACTGCAACATGTAAATGTATTTTTACTTATTACTAAGTACTACATGTATAATGTTTAGTCACTAAGTTAGACTCGCATAAAATAAGTTCATTTGTCTAGCCAGCACGAAGTGTGGACACGATATCAGGATTTCAGATATTTTATCATTAACAATGAAGTGATTTACCATATACTATATGGTTTGTTTGGATGTGTACAAATGGTTGGATGTTTTGATATTCTAAAGTATCAGTGTGTGATCCTTGTGTATGTCCACACACTGTACATGACCCCTTAGGAAGGTCGTTGATGCTGGTGAGGGGTTTTGATCCAGAGAATTGGACTTCCTCCCCTTCTTTGGTTCAACCTAGTTGCCTCCTATTTCCCATGTGCTGCCTAGCTCTAATAGGCTTAGCACTACTTCCTAAATATAATAATGCATCTCATGTGATTGACATCCCCATACGAAGTGAACTGCAATAGATACTTATGGTATGACATGGGTGTATATATTTGGGAGCAGAGAGAATGAGGGGTGAGGATCATTCCAGGAATGGTTAGAAAGTGAGGGATGGAATGAGATTTTAACCCTTTCACTGTCGGGACTCCTGATTCTAGACTCATTCTATGTCGAAAAATATTAAAAAAAAAAAAAATCTTATGAAATGATAGAGAATCTTTTCCCGATGGTAATGACACAAAAAAAAAAAAAAAAAAAAAAAAAAAAATTAATGGATGACTTCTGGAATTACTCTCTTGTGAAGTTACTGCTCTTGACGATATACACTCGGCGCTGATTTTGCCCACATTGAGCCCTATATTCAGCTAATTCCATTGTTCCAGTCGACCAAACTCATAGCTATTACACTAGAACTCCATTTGTTCTATTGATTGAGTACAATAAACCACCCATTTATTGATTTCAACTATCAATAAAAGTGATCAGAAATTGGTAATTTGGCCAATTTCATACACAATTCAAGTTTACCTGGAGAGGGTTTCAGGGGTCAACACCCCCGCGGCTTGGTCTGAGACCAGGCCTCACTGTGGATCAGGGTGTGATCAACCAGGCTGTTACTATTGGCCGCACGCAAGCTGACGTACAAACCACAGCCCGATTGGTCAGGTACTGACTTTAGGTGCCTGTCCAGTGCCTTCTTAAAGACAGCCAGGGGTCTATTGGTAATCCCCCCTTATGTAGGCTGGGAGGCAGTTGAACAGTTTTGGACCCCGGACATTTGTTGTGTTGTCTCTCAATGTACTCGTTGCGCCCCTGCTTTTCATTGGGGGAATGTTGCATCTCCTGTCGAGTCTTTGCTTTCATAGGGAGTGATTTTCGTGTGCAGGTTTGGTACCAATCCCTCCAGGACCTTCTAAGTGTATATTATCATGCATCTCTCTCGCCTGCATTCCAGGGAATTCAGATCAAGGACCTTCAACTGTTCCCAGTAATTTAGGTGCCTTATCGTGCTTATATGTGCTGTGAAAGTTCTTTGTACACTCTCCAGGTCTGCAATGTCGCCAGCCTTGAAGGGGGCCGTTAGTGTACAGCAGTATTCCAGCCTAGAGAGCACAAGCGATTTGAAGAGAATCATCATGGGCTTGGCGTCCCTAGTTTTGAAGGTTCTCATTATCCATCCTACCATTTTCATAGCAGATGAGGTGGATACATTATTGTGGTTTTTTGAAGGCGAGGTCCTCTGACATTATCACTCCCTGGTCCTTCACATTACTTTTCCACTCTATTGTATGGTTAGAATTTGTCGTATACCCTGATACATTTTTAATTTCCTCAAGTTTCCCATATCTGAGTGGTTGAAATTTCTCCTCGTTGAACTTCATATTGTTTTGAGTGGCCCATTTGAAGATTTGGTTGATGTCCACTTGGAGTCTCGCGGTGTCTTCGATGGAGGTCACTGCCATGGTAATCTGGGTGTCATCCGCAAAGGAAGACACGGAGCTATGGCCAGTTTCAAAATAGGGGCCAGAATAAGCAATGCAGACATTCCTAGCACTAAAATAACATTTTCTCTGTTCATTAGTCACGTCTCCAGGCCCCTCTTATATTATTACACTTGCTTTCCATTTTGAATTTTTATTCACACAAAAAATAGAAGATTTACTGTTATGCAGACTACTGCATTACATATTGTAAAAATGGTATAAATAGTATCAGCGCATTTCTGAAAGCATATTAAACCCACCAGTTGATGTGTATTGGACGTGTGGCATGATTTGTTTACTCTTGAACATCGGCAAAAATTGAACATTTCCACTACTTTGAGCTTAGTTTCGAGGTATGTACAGTGGTATCTTGACTTATGAGCCATCGCTCAGTTGATTTTTTGCTTTGAGTTACAAGTGAGGTTCAGATACGCCACCAGTAGTTGGCGCAGCGAATGCCACAACATCCAATCAGTGGTGCAAGTGTTTACCTCGCCGTGGAAGCATCACTCTTGTGTTGTGCTTGCATTTTATGCAGTTATTTTGCCAAATTTCTTCTTTCTAACCATGGGTCCTAAGAAAGTAAGTGCAAAGGACAGTGCTGAGAAGAAGAGGATGATGTCCATTGAATTAAAGCATGAAATCATAGAAAAACATGAACGAGGTGTGTGGGTTGTGGAGTTGGCGAGGCATTACCAGCGTAGTACTTCTACGATGTGCATCATACTAAAGCAGGAGGAGTCAATAAAGGCTATAATGCCAGCGATAAAGTGTAGCAAGTAAGTTAAGCAATTGAGCGATAGAAAAAGCACAAAACAAACTCCTCCAATCTCCTCTGGCTATCTTTTCCACCCTCTACCTCCGCCAGCATCTGTTCTCCAAAGATAAATATGTACACTTTATAAAACCAGTTTTTCTTTACATTCTCTGTTGTGTTTTGTTTTTATACAATATTTCTTATTTATAAATACATTGCTTCAGTGTTTTCCTTATGAAACTAGTGATCTAGTGCAGTTAGCCTTACAAACACTCCATTTTCTCTTATAATAAGACCTCAGAAGGGCAAGAATGGGAAGATATGGTCAGAGCGATAATTATTTTTACCTTGGGAGTGGCCGCCACCACTCGTCACATAATAACGTATTTTATTCATTCTAGAGCAGCGCTGTATAGCCCTTGTGGCTTAGCGCTTCTTTTTGATTATAATAATAATAATATTCATTCTAGAGTATATATCACATTTCTATGTTATTTATATTGTTTATTGTGTCATATTAGATAAATTGTGATAGATAAATAAGCCGAAGAGTTGATATTAGCGTTATATTGAAGTATTTTCTCCTGCCTCCCGAGAGCCAGGAATTCTGCTGGAACGGATTAATGGCATTTCATTTAATTTCAGTGAGGAAAATTAATTTGATATAAGCAAATTGAGTTATGAGCTAGGTCATGAAACAGATTAAACTCGTAAGTCAAGGTAGCACTGTACTTTTAGTCTGAAAACCATTCACAATCATCTCTATTTCTGTAATATATTTCCCATTCTGTCAAATGAGACCAAGAAAATGAGAATACATCCATAAATACCATACGAAGATACACCACAAAGTCGATATTTTAAACCATAAACATGGTGGTTTTTTTTTTTTCCTCATTATGCACTGCAGGATTTTTTTTTTTATACTGAGCACACAGACCCATTCTCACATATAGGCCTACCAGCTTTCTCCCACCAGATCTGAAGGCACTAGAATTTTGGCATAGTATTACGGGACCAACACTGGCTCTCAAGCCGTAATATTACGGGACCAACAATGAAAGGGTTAAGTGGTAGACGCTCGAGTGTATACAGCAGGCATGTGTTTAAGCGTTAGATCAGAGATAGTGGAGACAAGTGTTTTTTTTTTTAGGGTTTCATGTGCTTTTATGGTGTGGGGTAAACATAACATTTATGAAGGGATACAGGAAATAGTGATTAGTTGGACTTGGAGTCCTGATGGTGGGAAGTACAATGCCTGCACTCTGAGCAGTGGGTATTGCTGTTTGGCGGATCTGAACTGTGATGTCCGTGCACTTTTGGCAAGACAGCTATTGAATGAGTGATGTATGTATTTCTTGTTTTGGATTACCATTCCTTGATATGAGATGGCCATGTGGGAAGAAAAGTCTACCAAAGTGTTTGAGGGACAGTAAAACACCATTTGAAAATTAGAGAGCTGTACTGGGCATAATCCAGGAATCCTCCCCCCCCCCCTTTTTTTTTTAATAATCTAATGTTATCCCACATAATTGTGCTTAATACTTAAATGGAAAATCATAAAATTAGATCTTATTATAGTTGGAAAAAATAAATATGCCTAGCGATAGTTTTGAGAGCGGGAAGTGTCCAGTGTAGCATTACAAAAAAGATGGTAGCCCTACATTTTGGTTTAGTTTCATATGGTTACTAATCATATTTTCCCTTCTATGTACCCAGACAGTAGGGATCTATTATGCATTAAGCATACTAGACAATATGTGCATTTCAACCCTTCAAAAATATTACCCACAAATATTTTTTTTTCTTTTTTTTTTTTAACACAAAACCTAGTCTTAAAACTTTAACCTACACAAAGAAACATACAGTATGCACCTGTGCCTCCCCCCCCCCTCCCATAGTCAAATATAATTTTTACAATGAATTAGTAATTTAAAATGAACTGATCTTGTATTCTTTTTTCTTTTAGGTGAATGACAAGGAGTGTAACAACCTTGTAGAAAGGCTGCAATGTGATGAATTTTTTACTGCTATGATGACATTTTTCAGTAGGAAGTCAAAACTCTAGATAATGCAACCAATATATGTATATATGCAGTAAAACCCCAGCTTTGTGTGGAGCTGCATTTCTGCAGATTATCAACCATGTATTACAGTATTTTAAACAGAATGACATGTAAGTATGGTTTATAACATTGGAAATAAACTTATTAAATTTAAGTGGGTTACTATAATTTTCATAGGTAGTAGGTTGGTAGACAGCAACCAGCCAGGGAGGTACTACCGTCCTGCCAGGTGAGTGTTAAACAAAAGCCTGTAATTGTTTTACATGATGGTAGGATTGCTGGTGTCTTTTTTCTCTTAAACGTGCAAGATTTCAGGTACATCTTGCTACTTCTACTTACATTTAGGTCACACTACACATGCATGTACAAGGATATATATACACTCCCTTCTGGGTTTTCTTCTATTTTTCTTAGTAGTCTTGTTTATTTCTGCTTATCTCCATGGGGCAGTGGAACAGAATTCTTCCTCCCTAAGCCATGCGTGTCATAAGAGGTAACTAAAATGCCAGGAGCAAGGGGCTAGTAACCCCTTCTCCTGTATATATTACTCAGTGTAAAAGGACAAACTTTCGTTTTTTCCTTTTAGGCCACCCTGCCTTGGTGGGATATAGCCGGTGCATTGAAAGAACTGTATTATTATTATAATAAAAAAGAATTGCTAAGCCACAGAAAGAACTGTAATTTTCCTAGATAGTAGGTTGGTAGACAGCAACTACCCAGGAAAGTACTACTGTCCTGCCAAGTGATTGTGAAATGGAAATCTAATTGTTTTACATGATGGTAGGATTGCTGATAACAGGCGAGGGGCTTTTGATCTTGGGAATTGGACCTGTGCTCCAATTCACTGAATTGATCCTGAATGCCTTCCCCTCCCCTCCCCTCTCATAGGCACTATAATCCCTACGGGTTTAGCGGTTCCCCCACAGTGATAATACTTGGGTCACACTACACATATACATGCATATATATTTACACACTCATCTGAGTGGTGAGTGGTGCGTTGAGGTATATGTGGAGTCAAAAAATGTTATCTATGGAGGCAAAGAAGGGAATGTATGAAAGTATAGTAGTACCAACACTCTTATATGGGTGTGAAGCTTGGGTGGTAAATGCAGCAGCGAGGAGACGGTTGGAGGCAGTGGAGATGTCCTGTTTAAGGGCAATGTGTGGTGTAAATATTATGCAGAAAATTCGGAGTGTGGAAATTAGGAAAAGGTGTGGAGTTAATAAAAGTATTAGTCAGAGGGCAGAAGAGGGGTTGTTGAGGTGGTTTGGTCATTTAGAGAGAATGGATCAAAGTAGAATGACAAGGAAAGCATATAAATCTATAGGGGAAGGAAGGCGGGGTAGGGGTCGTCCTCGAAAGGGTTGGAGAGAGGGGGTAAAGGAGGTTTTGTGGGCAAGGGGCTTGGACTTCCAGCAAGCGTGCGTGAGCGTGTTAGATAGGAGTGAATGGAGACGAATGGTACTTGGGACCTGACGATCTGTTGGAGTGTGAGCAGGCTAATATTTAGTGAAGGGATTCAGGGAAACCGGTTATTTTCATATAGTCGGACTTGAGTCCTGGAAATAGGAAGTACAATGCCTGCACTTTAAAGGAGGGGTTTGGGATATTGGCAGTTTGGAGGGATATGTTGTGTATCTTTATACGTATATGCTTCTAAACTGTTGTATTCTGAGCACCTCTGCAAAAGCAGTGATAATGTGTGAGTGTGGTGAAAGTGTTGAATGATGAAAGTATTTTCTTTCTTTTTTGGGTCACCCTGCCTCGGTGGGAGACGGCCGACTTGTTGAAAAAAAAAAAAATCTGGGCTTTTTTCTGTTTTCTTAATAGTTCTTGTTATCTCCATGGGGCTCCTCAAGGGAGGTTCCTTGATGCTGGTGAGGGGGTTCTTGATAGGAAATTGGGTCTGTGCTCCAAGTTCCCTGAATTGAGCCTGAATGCCTTCCATCCCCCCCCCTCCCTACAGGAACTGTATAATCCTACAGGTTTAGCACTCCTCCATGATTATAATAATCTCCATGGGGAAGTGGAAAAGAATTCTTCCACCGTAAGCCATGCATGTCGTAGGGGGACGACTATGATGCCGGGAGCAAGGGGCTAATAATCCCTTCTGTATAAATTACTAAATGCAAAAATTAAGACTTTTCTTTGATGAGATACAGCCTGTTTGTTAAAAAAAAAAAAACTATAATTTTTGTGCAATTTATTGTACAAGACACTATAAGGTTAGGGTATGTTTAGTAGGGATTTAATTAACTACCTACTCCTTAATTATCCTTGAGGAATTTACTCAACATTGGGTGACCTTACCAGGTTGGTGAGATATGAATGTGTTCACTTAATCCAGCATCCTTACCTTATTTTTCTCAGCAAAGTTAACAGGTTATGGATATAGTTTAGACTGCAGTTAATGATCTGACAAGCCTAGGCATCTGAACTGCTGCTGCTGCTCATGTAGTCACTTAAGGTCTCTGACTTGGAACTTTTGGATAGGGATTGGACTATGATTTATGGGCTTTCATCATTGCTGGTGCCAAGGACACCTGATTATTATTACAACTGGGGGAGCGCTAAACCCGTAGGATTATACAGCACACGTGGGGGGGCTGGAAGGTATTCAGCCTAATTCAGGGAACTGGACCACAGATCTAATTCCTTAGATCAAGAGCCCCTCACTAGCATCAAGGAACCTTTCTTGAGGGGAAGGACACCTGAATTATGCAACTTAAGACCTTTAACATGTATCAAATTCTGGGCTGTAATTTGTTTTTCATAATACTGTGGTGTATTTATAATGGCTACATGCAGGAGTAAACACTGGAGACATAAGCCCTGTTGCTAGATTTGACTGCATATATTATGTATAGTCTAAAAGCTACACAAGAAAGTCATCTGAAGTATGATCTGTCCAGCAGTGTGAATTTAATTGGGCTTGTGGATTTGTATGGACAGTGTCAACCAGGTTGTGTAAAATATAAAAGGTGATGTATCATGACCAATGAATAGTTAAATGGTATATATTGCTGACAAGTATGGTAGAAAAATGGTAGAAAAATACCTGTATCTGTGATATACCTGTGACCAGTTTTGAGGGCATTCCTACCCCCACTGCCTAGTCTGGGATCAGGCTTTTGTGTTGACCACCTGGTCAACCACAATGTGCTAGCAATCTACAGGCTCGCTTATCACAACCCAGTTGCTCTGGCACTTGTAGCTGGAAGCTGTCCAGCTTCTTGAAACTTGTCTTTGTTCCAGCAGCATCCGTGATATCTGCTGATAATCTGTTGAAATTTCTTTAAAAGGCTAGCCGAGTCTAATAAATGCCCTCGCATGACACTGTCCAGGAACACTGCTGCAAACCCAACACCAGAGGATTTAGAATCATCAGTGTACACTGCAGTGGCATGAGAATGAGACCAGAAGTGGTTGAGAAAAATGGAGCGAGAATCAACTGTAGGTATTTGAGCTTTTGCATACAACAGTGGGGAAGAACAGACATGAACTGTTGGAACCTCCCAGGGGGTAAGAGAAAAGTTAGATGCTAGATGAAGATATAAAGGGGGCAACTGAAGAAAAGCCAAGATCAAGTGAAGACACGCAGAAAAGGGATGAGTAAACGGGCAGGGAACAAATAATGGACCTCCACTAACGTCTGTTACTATCCCGTATGTAGAGGGATTGTGAAGGTCATGAGAGTGGACAAAATAACGAAGGTAATGGGCACAAAACATGCAAGTTGGCAAAATAGTTCTGCTGCTGTAACTGAATTTGATGCAACTTTCTGTGAAAGTAATGAAGTCCTGGCAAGGTAGAGAAAGATCAAAGAGGGTTTTGATTTTCTAGATAGCTTTATTGGTAGGGGCACACAAAAATCAATCATTTCTTATAATGATACTGTTCAGTTTAAGTAGATAACCCAAGTGTAGATGAGCATTGCTTATGGGACCCAGATTTAATATATGTCTAGCAAGTAGTCCTGTGTAATGGGTTGCCAATGCCACATGTAATAGGCCTTATTAGGATGTTAATTGACCTTGCATGTCTTGGAGACCATACAAGTTGTAGGGTTTGAGGTTGCTGGGAATCATACAAGTTTCTTACCTGCTTCTGCATGTTTTGGATGCCTGAAAGATCTTGAAATATTCAGAAGCAGGTAAGAAATGACTTTCTTATTCTCAACAAACCCAAATCTGATACATATAGCCTCTCCAAGATGCAAGGTTAATAGCTTGATGAGACCCATCACTACTTGCAAAACGTACATCAAATTTCCTATGTATCATAAGCAACTTATCTTCATTACTCAGATGATATACAGTGGAACCCCAGTTTTTGTCCTTAATTTGTTCCAGAAGGTCGGTCAAAATCCAAAATGGACAAAAACCAAAGTAATATTTCCCATGCTGTATAGTCCTTGTGGCTTAGCGCTTCTTTTTTTATTATAATAATAATAATATTTCCCATGAGGAATAATGTAAATCCAATTAATCTGTTCCAGACACCCAAAAATATTAACAAAAAATACATTTTTTATATTTATAGATAGTAGGTTGGTAGACAGCAACCACCCAGGGAGGTAATACTGTCCTGCCAAGTGAGTGTAAAACAAAAGCCTGTAATTGTTTTACATGATAGTAGGATTGCTGGTGCCTTTTGTCTGTGTTATAAATATGCAAGATTACAGGTACATCTTGCTACTTTTACTTACACTTAGGTCACACTATATATACATGTACATGTTTATTTACATACACTCATCTGAGTTTTCTTTGATCTTATCTTAACAGTTCTTGTTCTTAATACTTTAACTTTTATATCCATGGGAAAGTGGAATAAGAATCTTTCCTCCGGAAGCCATGTGTGTTGTAAAAGCTGGGAACAATAGGCTAGTAACCCCTTTTCCTGTAATGATTACTACAAAGAATAAGAAAATTGTCCAAGTGGGATGTCTGAATGTGCGTGGATGCTGTGCAAATGATAAGAAAGAGATAATTGTGGATGTTATGAATGAGAATAAGCTGGATGCCCTGGCTTTAAGTGAAACAAAGCTGAAGGGGGTGGGAGAGTTTCAGTGGAGAGAAATAAATGGGATTAAGTCAGGGGTTTCAAATAGAGTTACAGCTAAAGGTGTAGCAATATTGTTGAAGGAT